CCAATTAATATAAATGTAACTGCTCCTGTCTTGTCTAAATCACAAATACGTCTCTTCGGGACAGATTTCTGTCTTTATCATGATTTGTTCCTACAATCTGACACCTCAAATGAGAACAGGATTGAAAACAACCAACCTCATGAACATATCAAACTGCCAATGAGACAACTAGGATGGGCTGTGTTAGTGATCATGTAGTTTTGGCAAATAAAACATTTATAATTAATTAAAACATGTTTATGTGTTGCAAAAAAGATGAATGCAAGAGCTAAATGCAGAATAAATCATATGTATAAAATATCCAGCTTATATAAAAACTCATGTTCTGTTCTCGTTCATGCTCCCTGGAAGAAAACGTTGCAAAAGGAAAATCCAAATCGTCATTTTCCTGAGATCATCACCCCGATCTTTGCTTGGTTTTGATTGATCTACTTGTGAAACAGCGTTTGCTAACTTTAATTTAAGGCTATAAAGTAATTCACAGTATAAACACGCTTAGCAGAACAACTGGTTTTAAATTACTGTTTATGTACAGTTATGGATTATAGAAAGCTAAAAGTTGACTAACAGACCAACCCTCCTCTGAATTAGTTAACGTGATTACAAAAATGCAAGCATAGGTATATTCAACTAAATATATATATGACTATATCAAAAGGGAAACTTTTTATGAATGAAGTGAATTAGCCCTGTGATGTCCAGGGTCACACTGCCTCTGGCTTTAGGACTGCTGGGATAGATATTCCAGTCTTAATAATAAACACATGCACTCACCAAATCCTCATTATGCGTCTTCTGTTAACAAATTTGCCCGAAGACTAAAGCTAGAGATATTTCCTGTGTATTTTTATTCTATTTCATTTTGTTAAAGTATAAATTATAAAAGAAAATCTAATACATGGTTCACTCCATTTTTATCAACGCAGTTTCTCAGGAACGCCTTGAGGGAATCTTTTCATATTCGGCACAAATGTTTGACCAACAATTTCTCATCAGCTCATCCTTGAATCCAATTTCAAGAGGTCAAGAATTACCGTTCAGTGTTTTATATTGCTCAGGAACAGTGGGAGGGATTGTGACCGTGCTTTATATTTGGTCTGATAATGAATGGGTGAAACCTTGGATGGCCACCTTGATGGCCATCTGTGGAGTCCACATTTTGGATTTTACAATTACTTTGCAGCAACTCTGAACACTTAAGACAGTGTCGGTGCCTGCAACTCTGTCAATCAACTTTAACTACTCATGTGAACAAAAACTAGTAACTGTGTGTGGCAGAGAGACAAATGTGAGGCTGTATAATGAAGAGGAAGGCGATGTTTACAGTAATAGATTTTTAATGATGATGAAAAGGCTGCAGTTGACTCAAACCCCATCATACCTACAGTCCCTCTAAAAAAATATCCTCAGGCCAAACGTACATGTGCACAGTGCACAAATGCTTCTCCAAAATAGTCCACATTCATAAGAAGGAAAAAAAGTGAAAACCAGAAACATCACCCACCAGCTGCCTGCTTACCACACAGGTCGGCATAGCAACCAGTGAAGCAGGGTTATCCGTGCTTTGTGAGAAACACAGAATCAACAAGGTTAGACTCAGCCTGAGCACTCAGACAGTTACAGGTTATATATTATGTAAAACCTGACGATGTACTGTCGGAGACGCTTTCCCGTCGGGACACACGTCATGTTTGAGTGAAAGGTACAGTGTGATCAGTCAGTGCCCTGCAGGTGTTTCTCCACCGATTTCATAAGTGATAAACAACAAGTTTTGGTTAAAATAAAAATATTACCATTGGCACTGATCTGGCAAAAAGTATCTGGTTTTGTTTGCAGAGCTCTTATCAAATTTACACCTACGCTTTATTAACATAAAATGTGCCCACACAACACATTGTTTTTTTGTAGAGCAAAGTTTGCATAAATCTACTGAATCATGTTTTGGTAAACTGGTTGGTAAATGTGTTAATAGTGGTTCCGTTACTTTTTGTATGTCGCAACAAGACTGAAAATGTTTACTGAAGCTAAAAGCTGATGATTCCTGGATCCAGAAATATAAATAGATCCATATTAGTTTGTGACATCTTCTTGAGAATATCAAGAAAAAAGCAAAGTAGTTGAAAGCATCCGATAAATAAAGCACTGGAAATACTGGAGTGGAAGTGTGTGATGGGAGACTGGGTCGTAGAGAGGGTTGTATGCTACAGGGATTACAAAGCCTTCTGAGAACATCTTGTGTCCGTGGGACTATAAATATAACTGCATAGGAAATCTGCTAGCTTAACGCCTGTGATTCATCATATCATGTTACATAGCTCAGACACAGCTGTGCCACAGCAGGAAGCAGAGTAGGGATTCAAGGGACAGATTATAAGCACTGGCTATTTGACAACCAATCAAACTGCCCGTTTTCCTGGATATTTGCCTGCAGTGAGGAATTGAAGTCTAATTGACCCTCAGACCACCCATATGCCCGCTTTCCATCACAATCTGTACATTGAGTGATAAAGGCCAATCAGTTAATATGACTGAGGAAGGCCAACATTCCCACAATCCTTCACATCAAAATTGCCTCTTGCAACTTGACAGCTGCCTGACACACTTCTGCTGATCCTCACAGCACACTTGAGAGCAGTCTGCTTCACAGCACAACTTAAAAATAACAGAAATAGGAGGGAAACTGTACCTCACACTACTTGAGCGATGCAGAATCTTCAAAAATGGTTGCTCCAAATGATCTTTGCAGGAATCGGATCTTTATTAAGTAAAAATATTATACTACCAGTAGACTCTCACAAAGATTGCATATGTACGATAATTAATGTGCCCTTTCAGATGCATTTATATGTGTGTACATGACAGAGACTCCCAGTAGGTGTTAACCCAGGAATCAAAAGAAAAAGCAAGAGGAGTGCATGCAGTGTGAAAGATTTATTTTTGTAACACGCTTAAGAAGAAAAAAGAGATCTCCGGGTCACGTGGGTGTGCATTTTCGCTTCAACTTTACTGTTTCGTGGATCAGCGGATGCCTTTAATCTGCACCAATCTGCTGATGTAGAAGAAGATGCGGGAGACAAAACGATCAAGTGAAAGCTAAAAATAAATAGGCTGAAGTTAAGGTCACATCTAAAGATTGCTGCTCAGTCCATCTGCTGCTCCTAGTACCAGAGGAGGAGAGGGGAGGCCGCTGCTGTCCCGCAGCCTCACCTCCTACGTGATTATTACGGAAGAAAAATGTCCTCTCCAGTGGATATTAAGCATACTCTCTATTCTACTGCAGATGTATGCATGCCAGACTCAAGTGCTGCTGACAAGTGTGGCCTCTACCTCCTGCACGTCACTGGTTCCATCACAGCAAAACAAAACCCTCCACACAGTCATACCTCAGCCGCTCCCTTTGCAGGGGCAAAATGCACTCTGACATGTTGCCGGCTCTTAGATTGTGAACTGTTTATCATAATGCATCTAAGAAATTCTCGTCTCCCTCGAATCCACTTGACGGTCTGAAGCTGTATCATCACACAATCTAACTCTGTTCTCTAATCAGCAGGCACTGAAAAAAAAAACCTGTTGAGGGGAAGTGTTGTTCACAGCCCATTTCCACTGTGGAAGGGGATGACGTTGCCATGTGTTTGAATTTATCACTGCATCTTCTCCTGTCTGCTTTCTGACAGCAGGAACTTCAGGCTCTGTTCAGGTTTAGGTGTTTATGATAGCAAAATTAACTTAGATGTATGCTGTTATGTTACATGCAAAATGCAGACGTGCACATGTCCTCTGCAAAATGAAAGTGGCTTGTGATTGTGCAATCTGTGTGTAATATATGTAAAATCTACACATGTCAAACAAAAGAGGAAAGTTTGTACTTTTCTGTGTTTGCAGTACTGGAAGTATTGAGACATTTTACGTAGTGTCTGTTATGTTTGTGGACCTTATATTGTGAGTTACTATTGCTGTTGGACCTATAAATGACCAAATCTGAAAAAGAGTTGGTAAAGAGGATGTAATCAGCCAATACTCACAAGCTTGGTTAGCAAGCAGCATCTAAAAACTGTACAAGGACAATGCACTGATACAGACATCTGCTAATCATGCTAAATACCATACAAATAAACAGAAACACAGCCTTCTTTGAACTAAATATTATTTAAGTCACTGAATCAATTTACAGAGGTGAGGCTAAGCAGACACCTTCCTCTGTGTGCAAATGCGTCAAACCTGGCATGACCCTAAATCTCAGCCTTAACAAAATCCAAACGCATGGAAGCATTTATTGATAAAGTTTTGCATTTTAATGTGCGAGTATATAGGAACTGATTCACTTTTGAAGACAGGCCTGAATCCTAATTCGAGGATCTTCAGTTTCTGGCACTTTTCCATTGGTTTTACTTTTCAGCTTTTGATGTCAGCTCTTGTGTGCACACCAGTATTGGATGTGGGTTGTACAGTGAAGCTTCTGTAGATCTGGCTTGTTCCTGCACATAGGATGCTTTTATAGGAAAAACTTCTAGGAAGTTTGAAATTGCATGAATGCCCATCTTAGGGAAGATGCTGGTGTTACGTGGCGCTTCCTCTGATGGTGGGGTTTTTTTTCCTGTTGAAAACTTAAAATTGCACAGAAATAGCAGTGAAAGGTAGTAGATAGAGCAAAAATGATGATGCAAATTAGACCTCGTTTATACAAAGATTAATATTTAATTTCTTTTTTTTTTTGCCAGGTTTATGATATTTAAGGTTTCCCAGTAAAATCTTGCATCAAATGGTTTTCATGTAGCAAAGTGAGTAAAGTACATTAGACTGTATTCCCTCCTGATGATGCCAATAGTGGAGGGAATTTGCTGAGCATCAAGACTCTGATTAATAATTTTAAACCTAAAAGTAATGAAAATAATATAAAATAAAAAATACATTTTACATGGAGATATGTTAATCACTGTTTGGCTCAGCCTCAAAATCTAATGCACAGTGACATAAATAACAAGAAACCAAATGACGTTTTTAAGATTGTTGTGGATTTTTCTGTCTGCAGGTCCCAGTGAGCTGGATCTCAGTCTTCTTGGTGAAACAAGCAGTCTGGCAGATGTTGCCTGTAAGGATGATGAGGTAAGATCGCAACAATGAAAACTATCTGTTTGACTTTTTTTCTGGTGGGATTTAAAAGCTTCAACAATAACTACGTTTTCTGCTCCACTGGGTTTTGCAGAAGTTTAAAAAAAAAAACAACTTTTCACATGAATAATATAAAATATGTAAAATACTAAATTACAGAATCAAATTACATTTTCAGAAATGGCAAACAGTAAACCCATCATCTGAAACGCTGAATGACTGAGCGCTGAAAAAGCCTCAAGATGGTGAATATTGTTGTGTAATGCTTGGCTGCCATTCAGACGAGCTTCATTCCTCCACACTCTCCTGCAGTCAGTAAAGTGTAACCCTGACCTCCATCTCATTTCCCGCCTCCAAATGTCTGGAAACAAATAGCCTGTCTCTCTCGGTCGGTTCGCCTTTCTTTGACTTCATTCTTCCAACTTTTTTTTCCCTTTGAAGTGTTTATGGAGGTTGTTTATTGTTGTGTAAGTTTTCCAACCAGGCAGAGTTTTCTGGGTATAGACACTCTCTCAGCAGCACACCTCTTCACGTTTATTCAGTCCATTGAATTCACACTTGGGAGCTGCTCCTGACTGACTCCATTTCTTGTTGGCTGCTCAGCTGTGTTGGATTTGGGAGTATTTTTCTCAGCAGTAATTCACTCATAGTGGGATGAAAGGCTTTTTCAGTCTCCCCCCTCCATCTCTTCTTCTCCTGTTTAATAAGATACACCTTTACGTTTTAAAGTCTGTTTTTATTCACGCCTTTTGTATTTTTCTTCAGGAGCATCAGTAAAGTTGGTGTAAAGATTCAACAGCAGGGGGATTTAAATCCTGGGGTTGCTTGAACAGGAACAAAGTATTTTTAAATGGAAAGCACCACCTACAGCTTTTACTTTTGTTACTTGTTACTATTGGCTACACCACCTTTCAGTTTCACCTAACGAGAACAGTAACTTTTTGACCACATTTGTGTTACATATTTGCCTCCTGCTCTATTGACTTTACTTCATTTCATGTTGATAGCTCTTTAATTTCCCTCAGAGTGAAAGCTGAAGCCAAAATAAAATTGAGTTGTTGCTGTTTTTTTCGGTTTGTCACACTGTCATCATTCTCTTTTGTAATGCGCTGCTACTTTTCTCAAGTTCTACATCTCTTATTGGTACTTCTGCTCTACACATCTAGCAATCACCCAAATACAAATGTGCACTCCACCGATGTTGTTCATTCGACTGGATACCCAAACAACATCGCTGTAATCTAACAAAGCTTGACAGGATCTTTCAGGATGAATGGGGCAAAGTGCCTGAATCCAGACAGGCTTGTGGAGATTTCACCTAGCCCACAGTCCTGATGGATCAGCTGATACAGCTGATAATCTCAGTGCTGGCCCAAATCGCTTGATGGCCCAGTTTATACCCTTCTAAACATCCAATTGCGAAATATATTGAGTGCAATATTTAAGTCACTTTAGCTGTTTAAGTTGCTCCTGTTCCTACTATCAGCTTTGCATAGAAGCAACTCAGCTCAACTCAACTATCTGCTTTAAGCTGATAGGAATGCAATAGTAACTCAAATAATCAGCTATTACAACCATATGCAGAAGAGCATCGTTGACGCAGATAGGCTACAAGAGCAGAAGACCACACTGGTCTCATGAGTCTCGATTTCTACTCTGACATTTAGAAGGTAAGATCAGAATATGGTACAAACATCCATCTAAGTTGGTGGCAGTGGTGTAAGCGTGTCAGGGATAATTTTTTTGGCACACCTTGGATCCCTTAGTATCAGCTGACCATTGTTTAAATGCCAAAGCCTACCTGAGTATTGTTTTTGATTGGTGAGTGTTTATGATGGGAGAACACTTTATGTCAACTATAATGGTCTTGGCTGAACTGAAAGAAACAACAAATTGTAAGGGGGTACAAGGGACGAAACACTCAAAGCCAAGAATAAGCAAAGAAAATGGTGCATCCCTAAGAAACATCAAACACTGGAGCTACAAAAAGGGCTGGTGTCTAAGAGACATCCATTTATCAGCTTTCTGAGATGGACCTAGTACATTGTCCTAAAGTTCTTCTCAGCCAGACACACAGTGTCTATACAGTTAAAATTATTGATATCCTTATTATCAGCCTCATAAACAGAATTACTCTCACAGCTGGTTCTCTGAGACCTGAGAGCCAGAATACTGCTGAGTGTCTCCAGAGCTTCATGGCCAGCTGCGATTTCCTAATAAAACAATCTTTGTCGTGACGGACAAAAGCGAACTTCATGTGAGGATGGTCGATAATTATTGACTGATGTCACGTAGTCGCTTCGAGACCAATGATAAAGTCCGCTCAGTGAGGGAACCGTAAAACGGACATTGCTGCCGGCTCACTGAAGTCAGTGATTCTCCCATTTAACCCTTCCTGTGTGGAGCGGTGACACAGTTCTGCCTCTGCAGTCGAAAGGCACCGTGCCACCTTGTCAACCCATATTTGTGCCCCCAAATATGAAAAGGAGAAAGACTTTGTTAGAGTGTGGACGAAGGAAGGTTGCAGACGAGGGAGACATCGAGACAGAGTGGCTATTTTTGGTCTCTGGTGTCAAATGTCTTGGACGCTTCCTCCAATTATTTCTGACTATCTCTAATTTATTCATGATGGAGGGACACCTACTGTACAGGTATATTTTCTAAGGTACTAATTTTTGGTTTGAGGTTCTTAATCCCTCTTGGTTACTGGCACATCTAAATAATCTAAATATTATTTCTATCATTTTTAGGAGAAATAACAACAGAAAAACAAAAAGCAAACAGCAAAATGAGAAGGGAAGAAGGGGTTATAGTGGGACATCTTTGTGCTTCATCACAGTAACCTTTGTATTAGATGTGTCTCTGTAGACTACTAGCCATGGTTGTGCTTTGAGTGATATGGATTAGTAGTTACCCTGGTAAACAGTAATAAGTAATGCTATACTTTTAATTACATCGTAATTAAAAGTACGTAATGCAACCTATTAAATGTGATTACTTTTATATCAAACTATTTAAACTGGTGAAAAATGCAGAGAAATCCTCTAACTGCTGTGGATGTTTCCTTTTGTCATATTCTGCTGTGTGAATGGTCGATTAATTTGACCAGATACAAAGGCAGGATGCACAAGACAGGCATGAAACTCAAAGCAAGCCTTTAATCCTGTTAATCCAGAAAATAAACAAAAATGCATCTGCTCACATGAATCGGAGGAGAATGCAAGTATTTCAGAAAAGAATTTCCTTTCAGGGGATTTTTAGAAATGTAGTCAGTGACATTAAATGGGTACTGTCCAGAAAAAGAACATTTTTTGATCGTAACATGTTGGAAAATCTGCTGTGAAAAGTTTGAAGCTTACAGGCGACGTAGTCAGCTTGGAGGAAACAGTTACAGTTTCAAGAGCCAAAAAATGAAAACACAAAACATTTCAACTTACCCAGCAGCCTTAACCACAAAGTCTCCACTGTTCATCTGCATATTTGCTATGTTGCAAACACAGCTATCTCCAGGTTAGAGATGTCTTGACAGACTTTCATATTTAGCAATGTATTGATTTTTTTCCTATCTATTATAGTTTTAGCTGATAAAGGCCAAAAACATTTAAAAGAATAGACTTGACATGCACAAATATGGAATATCGTGTACTGAAGCAACATGGTTCATTATACAGTAGGACCCGCTTTTTAAATTGGTAACCTCTTGCAGACGTGTGCATCGTTACAACGATCAAAACTTTTCAGCTTGTTGCAAATGAGAAAAGTTTGACAAGAGCACTACTAATTTAAAAAGAGCATTGGATGTTTTTTTCACCTCAGTTGTTAATTACACAACAAAAGTAACAAGAACACTTCTAACATGATCTAACGGAGCTCGATCCCTGCAGGGAACTAGAGGAGATTACTGCGGTGACTGTTGGTTTCTTTAAAGGTGAAATGTGTGTAATGGCGTCTTTTGCTTTCATCATTATTATGCGCAGGACAATCATTCCTCAGTCGATGTGATCGTATCTGTTAATCAACATGACAGTTCAGTATTGTGGTCCTGTGGTTTGAAAAGCTGAGATGACAGCCACAGTTTAATTAGATTATACAGATGACTCATGAAGAGAGTCTCATGTGAGGGAATTGGTTTTAGAAATGAAGATGGATGGAGAGGCATCCTCCACTGCTGCTAACAAAGTCATCATCCTGTTTCGTCTGAGGGATTTTGAGCCCCACTGGTGGGGTCGCATCTAGACGTGATGATGTCAGCCCGGATGCCACTTTGGAAGCGGCAGAGCAGGCTGTACTGGGTCAATAAACATCGGCGGTAAACTCCAGCTTCCAGTCAGGAGTTTCCAGTGTTCTCCTCAACACAGCGGTTTGCTGCGGAGGCAACATTAAGAATGGGGATGGTATGTGAATAGATAGGCCGTTAAGAGAGCAGGCACCATGGTGGGCATGGAATTTGCACAAATTTGCAATAAACCGTTGTCCATCACAGGCAACAACCAGCATCCCCAGCACGGTGTATCATTAACAGACTGCAGCTGCTGTCCTGCACCACTGAGATACTGAGGAGATCTTTTGTCCTCTGGACCACATAGCCCACATCACAGAAGGGGAAAGGAGACAGAGACAATGACTTGTTGCCATGACTCTCTACAAACCAGCACCAAGTCTCTTGATGCTGGTTGCAGTAGCAATTTTTTCTTAATCTGGTTTTGTGTAAAATCTTATGACAGTTTCTATATAGATATTGCTCCATAGAGGAACATTTCTCTATCTGTATGATCTATATCTATCCAGATGATGATCTATATGATTGCTTCTTGTATTATTTGTCTGTATGGTAGCAACCCTTCAGACTACCTGCACCTTAACTTACCTCACCTAGTAAGCATTGCACACATCCTCTAACAGGGACAGGTCTTGTTAGTGATAAACTTAGACTGTCACTTCAATATTGTAGTTTCTCATTTTTTTGTTTGGTTTCATCCATCTACCTACCTACATATCTATCCATCTATCAGCATGTCTGTCTGCCATCATGTAAAAAAAGAGTACCCCATAATTCAGTTGCTTGTTGCTCCACCTTTAGTATCATTAACTCAAAGTAATCATTTCCTGTGTAACTATCAGTTTCTCACATGGTTGTGGAAGAGTGTTGACCCACTCTTCTTTACAATGTTGCTTCAGTTTGTTGAGGTTTGAGAGCATTTATTTATGCACAGCTCTCTTAAGGTCCTGCTTCACCATTTCAGTTAACTGGACCATTGCAAAACCTTATTTTTGCTGTGCTTGGAATCATTGTCCTGTTGCACTTTCCCTAAACTTTAGCCAGGCTTTATCTGTCAGACAGATGGCTCAGAATGCTCTGACTCTAGAATACTTTGGTATACAGAAGAGTTCATGGTGGACTCAGTGACTCCAAGGTGCACAAAATAAGCCCAAATCATCATCCCTTCACGACCTTGCTGGACAGTTAGTATTACGTATTTGCTGTTATGCTTTGTTTAGTTATCTTCACAAATAGAATGTTCCATCCGGAGGGCATTGTTCCAGAGGTCTTGTGGTTTGTTTGGTGGTTTGTACAAAGTTTGTGCAACTTTGTGAACCTAAGCCATGCTTCCATGTTCATTTTAGAAAAGAGAGGCCTTCTCCTTGAAACTCTTCCAAACAAGCCATAATTGTTCAGTTTTTTTTTTCCAAAGTATTCTCGAGCATTGCACAGTCTGACCAAACTGCTTTCACAGAGCTGCTCACACAGGCTGGTAATTTGGCTAGCAGCACCCAGTTGCTTCTTATACTCTTCTTATACCCTGCGGAATCAGCAATGCTGTACTGTGAAAACTTTATTACATGACTGTATCTATTCATTTCTTAACTTTCCACGTGTGGCATCAATAGATCAAAATATAAATTTGTCCCCAACTTTGTTTCATGACCAAATCTCGTGACCAGCCTCTGCTGTACTTTGTCATGACATAAAGTAGGGCTGTGCGATATGACCAAAATCTCAAGAATGCTATCATCCCGATAACGATATAAATCACAAAAATGTAACATTTTCTGTAAATTCTGTGAATCTCGGGCAGCTCGACTTGCGGGAAGTCTTTCCAGCTGGAGTCGAGTGTTTTAACCGATGCATGAAACGAGACATTTTTAGACATAAGTTGTAAGGGCCGCCGTTTTCTTTGTGAGTATTTATTACACGGCGTGCTGCGGGGAAAAGCCTATTCTAACGTTTGAGTCTAAGGTTTATTTTTTAGCACCTGGCGGCTCTTTTTTAATTCTCATCCGTAATTAATCTGCTCTTTCACGTGACTCAGTTTATTTTGAAAAGTCTCAACAGGATCTTGAGCTTTATTGTGAAAGGTTTATGTGGAACATAAACAAGCGGACACGCGATGCTGTTACCGTCGTTGTTGCTAACGACAATGCATAAAAACAGGCACTTGTCCGTCTGTAGTGTGGTTACATTAAATATAAGAGAAAGAGAGAACTTTAAGAAATTAATATAGCCACTACAGTGACCATCAAAACGATGAAAAAATATTGCCGTAAACAGTTTATTTTGCGACACCACGAAACAAACGATAGCGTAAAATGAAACGATAGACGTTTTTATGTCGTTATCCAATCTATATCGTTATATGAACAGCCCTAGCATAAAGTATAATTTACAGACATATTTTATATACAAATAATAAAAGGTTGTTGCTGAGGGACACCATGAATTTTCCATACGTCCCACACTCAGATGGATGTTTTATATTCGTTTTTGCCTCATTTATAGGGATCTAAGAAAAAGCCGGATGCCTTTCCAACATCGGTTGACAGTTATATTTGGTAGTGCACAGTGAAGATTCTCATAGAGCTGCTCATACAGACACAAGCTTTAGGTTTTGAGATGTTTGTGTAGGAGTATGTGTTTGTGACATCTAGCAATAACATACAGTCTTCACATCATGAGAATTTTAAAAAAAAATGTTGTCTTGTTGTTGTTGGTGGATTTTACAGCGGCTCGTGTGTGGTTACCTGCATGTTTCATCTCCATCACGTGGACTCAATGCTCGCTGTGCATGTGTTTCTCTCTGAGTCATCAGACCAGTTGGTGTACCCACATGCCAAGCTGGCTTGTCGTTGGCACCCAGCACTCCCCCACACTGACGGCATTTATTTAACAGGAACAGTGCTCTCCTTCACTTTACGTCACATCTCTGCTCTTCTCCAATTTCAGCTTCACATTGACCTCGCCGCAAAAAGCCAAACGTATAAATCATAACCAGGCGACAGAGCAATGTGAAGTCAAGAACCAGTAATAGATGGAAACATAAAGAGAAGTCATCCTTCCTTTAGTCAACAGTCTGCAGTTGATGTTTAGCTGCTTTCTGATGTGTTTCCTGGCAGGCAGCCCGATCTCTCTACGACTCTCCGCACTGCAAACTGCTCCATAAAACACAAGAACAACTCATCTTACTTTACTTCTCTAAGAATTGAACAATACAGTATGTTTCACATGAAATCCAGGTAACAACTGAGACTTTAGCAGTTCACCTTAGGGCAGGGCTGCCCAATCCCGGTCCTCGAGAGCTACTATCCTGCAGCTTTTAGATGCATCCCTACTCCAACACAGCTGAATCAAATGGTTTGATTACCTCTTCAGCATGCCATCATGTTTGGCAAAGGCCTGATAACAAGCCATTCATTTGATTCAGGTGTGTGGGAACAAGGATGCATCTAAAAGCTGCAGGACGGTAGCTTTCGAGGACCGGGATTGGGCACCCCTGCCTTAGGGTGTAAGAAATGAAAGAAAGCTTTGCTGTTAATAACCAAACCAAATAATGTTTTCATAGACTGAAAAAAGCTTGTTGTGTTCTAATAAACACCAAGTTATAAAGAATTAAATATAAAGAAGTTAAAGTTAAATCAAATTGACTAACGTGTATTTATCCAAAAGGCACAATTTTGTATGTATAACATGCAACTATTTTAGCTTTTATCAGTACTTTAAAATCATTGCTGAAAAATACAAAAAATTCAGGCTAAGGTCTGGTTTAGGTTTAAAACCAATCTGCTGGGTTTAGGAAAAAAATCACGGTTTCCATTAAAATGACTAATTTGATAATGTGTGGATGCTTTCGTCACACTGCCAAAGTTAGGGAATGATTTACACAATTTTAAATGCAAAAACACTGATTGCTGTTTAGACACAGAAAACAAGCAGCATCCACCCTCACTGTGTTCTTATTTGGATTTGTGGCTCTAACTAAAGGTGTGTGCTAAAGGCGTATGGTTACTAAAGGTCATTTGTTTGAAAGGACAGTCTCTAATTACATCTGACTGACTTATAAACCACTCGTATTTTTGTGTTGTAGGATGATGATCTCATACAGATATTTGAACCTGTGTGTTTGATTACGGTTCAGTAACATTTTTGACTAAGGATCTGTGATACACCTGTTAGACAAGTTATTTGCTGGCTAACAGAGAGTTCACACAGTATTTAGGTTCACTTTCAATGTTTTTCTCTCAAATGTGAGGTTGGAGGCTCAGTTTTCTCACATGCCTTTTGGTGGGAACTGAAGAAAAGTATGGAGGTGATTAAGCATATAATGTATTGTTTAGACTAGAGACAATTGTCTTTTTTTTAAAAATGTGTTGAGTCAAGACTTGAATAGTTTCTACTGCCAACAAAACACTAGTGAGGAGCTCATGTTTGTTTTTTTCTTTACACTCCTACAAGCAGGTGCTTGACTGACTTACAGTTTTCTGTGTCCTTTTGAAATTATTCATTTGAATTTCTTCATCTCAACCTGTAGTAATTGCTGATACTATTTAATGAACTAATGAACATTTATTTAAATAGCACTTTTCGCATACATAAAAGTCACAAAGGGTTGAACAACAGTTACAACACAATATCAAAAGTGACCCATGTTAAAACAGAGTAAAAATAATTAAAAACATAGATTAAAAAAAAAAAAGAATGCAAGCAGAAGGAAAAGGGTTTTTTTAAGACTCCAAAGACTCAGCTGATCTGAGCTGGAATGGTAGACTGATCTGGAGCCTTAGTGCTAGGCTCTTCCTTAGCTTTAGTCTTATACAAGGGATAACCAAAAGACCTTAGACAGTGAGCAACAGTGCATTTCACAAGAAGCTGAGATAAGTAGTCCGGAGCATGTCCATTTACTGCTCTGCATGATGCAAGTGTGAGAATTTAAAAATGAATTCCAAAATCAACTGGGAGCCAATGTAAAGAGAATAAAATCAGTCTTATGCAAGCTTGCTTGCTGAAGTGTGTAGGAGTCTGGCACCAGCATTTTGTATCGCTTAGAAGTGTGACAGAGATGATTTGTCTAAGCCAGTATAAAAGGCATTACAATAACTCAGGTGTAATCATACTAACGCATGAGCATTTTTCTCTAGTTCAGAGGAGAAGACTACAGCTCACAACTGAAAATGGCCTCAGTTTTGTCACAGTTTAAAACAAGGCAATTATTGGAGAGCCAATCACTAATCCGGGATGAACAATCAGGGTGGACAGTCAATCCAGCTGGTGGGACATGACCAGCTGAATGTCATCAGCATGGAAATGATAAGAAATGCCAGAAAAAGACTGAATGATGAAAGAGAACAACAGGGGACCCAGGAATGAACCTTGTGGAACCCAAAGGTTAAACAAGCAGTGTAGCAGGAGAAGTTTCTCACCCTAGAAGAAGAAGTCCTTTCAGATAAATAGGAGGAAAATCAGTCTAGTGCTGATCCAGCCAAAACTTTTAGCCTATTAAGTAAAATATTGTGGTCAACGGTATCAAAGGCCGCACTGAGGTCAAGCAAAATGAGCACAGAACAATTCCCTGCATCAGATCCCATTACAAGATGATCACAGAGACTGAAAAGAGCAGTTTCAGTGGAGTGTCAGCCCCTCAAACAGTCCTAAAATAATGAATAATGACCTCAGTGTATCTCCATTCCTTATACTTTCAAATTAATGTCCAAAAGGGTCCCTGCTCTTATACCAGAAGTATCACACCTGCGATACTGTCACCTGTGTTCGAGTATTCATTTTATCCATTTTTCTCATCACCTATTCAGGTCTTAATGTTCCTGTCTGCTTCTGCCTTCATCGGACTGTTAAATCATAAGAATTAAACACATTATAATGGTAGCACTTGAGTAATTAGTAGGTAATGCATGCCAGAGTGATCCAGATGGCTGAAGCTGAGGAGCATAGTAATGAAAAGGAAAATCTGCACAAATGACACTTGGGATTTTTTTTATTTTAGTTTATTATTTTTAACAGGCTGAAGCAGTTTGCATCCACTTAAAGTGACAAAGTTTTCTAGCCAGCTTTAGAGCTCAATTTGCCGTGAGGTCGTTGCTCTGCCATCACAGTTTACTGAGAGACATTTCCTCAAGGCTAGCACCATGTGATTGCTCTGTAGGGACACTCAACCCAATCTCTTTTTCAAATACATACTTTATCTCTTCTAGAAGATGGTTTACAGTCTGTCTGAGCTACAGTGTTGCAAATCAAATATGTTTATACCCAATCTGAACAGCCAATACAACATCCTGGGTGCCTGTTTAAAATAGGGGAAAACAGTCTATACTTTCAGGCAGCATCTCTATGTTGTTGCTCATGAACAGCGCCAATAGTTGTACAACAAAAAAAAAAAGGGAAAGCACAAACCTTGAGACCTCGCTCTCCCTCACAGTGCTTTCAATCATGCCACAAAATTGCTGTTAACATCAGGTTGTCAGTTTCAGGAAGTTGCTGAACAGTCAAACACAGACACCCCTAATAGGACATCAGAAATATGTCGAGGTAGGAGTGATTTCCAGAATCACCATCTGACAAGCAGTTCACACAAAGAAGAAGAAGAAGCCTTTTTCTGTGTTCTTTTGTCGAATGCTATGGGCATGACCAGCGGTATATGGACAACCTGTGTTTTTGGCCTTGCTTCTACAGGATTCAATCTTTCAGCATGACAATTCCCTTGTGTACAAACCTGGAGCTATTAACAAGTTGTTTTTGAGCATGATGTCTGGCCTTCACACAGCCCTCACCTCAGCCTAACCCATTACCTTTGAGGTGAACTACCAGAGAAACTTTGGCAGCCAATATCGCACCAATTCTCCTGCGGTTGATCGAAAGTAACCTTGTGCAGGCAGGGCCGAAAACCTGAAACCAGAAGTCTGGATGATTGTAGTAGCTTGTTTAATGCTATCCAAGTCTCACAGCTGTGGAAATTCACTATCCTCTTTCAAATGTGCTTATTAAAACTCATTATTTGATGGAATTTTCTAAACTACTTCTCACCTTCTTAGATTGTTTTTGAAAGTAGCTATTACTATTAATTATGGGTGTATCTGTTTATAAACAAATACACTGGGGCATATGTGGAAAGCATGTGGAGCTGCACAAACACAGTATTTGAAACATATTTTGGAAAAATATGAACATAAATAAAACCTAAAGACCTTTATTTCTCACTTTCTTCCAGGTTGAAGAGGAGGAAGAAATCGGATACGCCGAAGGAAACACAGAAAGTGAGTTGAGGAAATAACTGCTATTTGATTTTCAGTTTAAAAAGGAGCAAAGTAACACTCTTCCTACTTTTCCACCATAGTCCCTTTTGCCTGCAGTCGACTCAGTCTAGCATTTCATCACAAAATGTTTCATCTCAGTAAATGCCAAGTGTCATGTAACCATTTTTCACCACAATGAACCGCTCCCTGCAGCCGTGTATGTGTGTGTGTGTGTATGTGTGTGTGTGTGTGTGTGTGTGTCAGCACTGTTCTGCATCAACAGTATTGATTGTGTAATACGAGGGGAGGCTCATCTGTTGATTCACTGTCGCCACTTAGACCTGATGTTTATCTCATTATCCAACAGTACAAATTGTTTTCATTATTATGTTACTGGTATGATTCTTGCTACCAACCCAGCCATGGGGAAACCGTGTGCCAGTGTACTCATGATAAATGAGGAGGGTTGCGTCAGGATGGGAATCTTTGCCAAATCAAGCATGCAGCTCATCAGGAATGTGACTTCTGTAACGGATCATTCGGGCACTGGGTTAAGGACGACCACCCCCTGTGCTGTTTTCAAACAGGGTGGAACTGCTGGCCAAAGGGGGGGGGGGCTTTTCAGATACAGCAAGAGGAAAGGACAGGAAGGAATAAGAGGAGGTTGAGAATAGGAACTTTATATTTAGTGACTGATGTAGTACATGGAGACTTGCAGAGGGTTAGTGACAGAAGAAGATGCTAGGGGCAGGATGGAGGCAGATGTGCCTGTGCCAAATGAAAGAAGAAGATTTTTGCTACCACTTGATATTTTCTATTTGGATTTAACAGTTTTTTCCAGTGATTCCACAAGAGTTATAACTATTAGTGAGCTGTGCCTCCACGGAGCATGAATTTACCAGGATGATGTCATTGCAATTGCCAAAATCATAAAGTTGATCAACTGTGCAAAAGCAGTGTGTCTGAGCACACCTGTATTTACTGCGTGATAAAGTTAGAAGGTTACAGCTTCTGTTTCATGTAAACAAACTGCCGCTGTTTACAAAATGTTTTTCCTC